TGTCACCAGGCTCCAGATCTGGTCGGTGTGGGATTTCGCTGTCTGCACCACCACTGCCAGTTTCCAGTTAGGCTGGAAAGAGAGTTCGCAAGAGAGACTCTCACATGCTTATCTCATTGCCCTTTATCTTGGCGCCTTATCTTCAGGTTCTCGTTGAAATCAGCCGTCTATGCCTTCTTTTAAGTCAAGCAAAGGTCAGGATGAACCGGGTGACTTCAGTCCAGGTGTACAGAGATTGCAGTGTTGTTATTTACCAGCCCGAGCTACCGAGGAGGAAATCAAGACCTTCACCAATTCAGCTCCGGACAACTTCTTCCTCTTTCCAAATTACTTGTGGTTTCAGAGCATCTCCACTGCGAAAAGTGGGAAAAGAAGAAAAGCCTTATTCAAAGCGCCGGTGTCCCCCCAGCACGCAGGCTGGCCGAGCTGTGGGGATTCACAGCACCCGGTGCCCTGGAGCTCCCCGAGCAGCGGCGAGATGGGCCCACAGCATCCTCCCGCCCCCCCAAGGGAGCCCTCTTCACTGCAGAGACAGACCACAGATCTCCCCGAGGATGAAGCTCTGATGCGATAAAGCCCGGGGGAAGCAGAGTACCCCACCTGCGTTCCCCCCGTGGGGATGCTCCCCATCCTGGCTCCCCTTCGAGCGTTTTCCCCAAGCACGAGGCACAGCATCAGTCTCGCCTCCCCCAAACAAGCGTGGATTCCTTCATGCCACTTTTTCTCATCCTCACCTGACGCCGGTGAGCAGACGGCGCTGAGCATTCCCCCAGCTCGCCGTTGCCCTCTCCTCTCTTCTTCAGCCTATTTATTTACAGCGCTTTGTGAACAAATCTGTCTAAAAATTTTGCTTTCAAACCTGAAGCAACAAAATACCGCCCTGTATGAGTAAGTCTCAGTTCTCACCCGACGCCCACACTGACCCAGCTATTCCTTTTAGTATCAACAGCTTCACAGAAAAGAGACCTCTGTTTTTATCCACCTAGACAGACACTATGAAAGCAGTGACAGAAAGAAAGAGTCTGGCGTGCTGCGGTGAGCGCACAGCCCCTCTGAAGTGGGATTTCTGCTGGGGCGGGAGGGAGAAGCAGTGGGTGGAGGGGGACGATGCCATTCCCACCCCGGGGCCGGGAGCAGGGACACGCGGGAGAGCCCGGGATGCTGCGACCCCCGGGAGAGCTGCTCGCCGCTGCGCCTTCAACGCCAACGCTGAACCAGGGGGGTTGTGCAGCCCTGGGAGCAATCCCCCACCCCGGGCAGGCGGCGCGGCGGCCGTTGCGGCCCCCTCCGCTCTGCTCTTCCCTCCCAAAACCCAGACAGAAAACATTTCAAGCCGCAAATCTTCCCACCGGAGTTGAGATTTGTGTCAGTAAACACCGTGATTTCCAGAACAGCCTCTCGGTAGTAAAGGAAACTTGAACCTCAGCCCCCCCCATCACCCTCCCCCCGAGACAAGGTTGGGGTTTTATTACGAGGATTACACTTGTTTATAAAATCTTTTTTTTTTTTTTTTTCCTAAACGCTGAGCCTGCGGCAAGCCCGTCAGAGCTAACGGCGGCTGCGGGCTGAGCCCCTGGAAAAATCTGCCTGTGCTTCACACCTCTCCGTGCTGTGCATGTTTGTACCGTCCACGTTTCCGCTTCGGTACAGCGCACAGCGTCATGCAAACAGACATGACTTACTGTTGGGGTTTGGGGTATTAACTCACCGTTTTGGAACTTGGCAGCTGAAGAAACGACTCCTCCTCCCTGCTTGGCTGCTGCAAGCGGGATTGCAGGAGGTCTCCGGAGCTCTTCTCACCCACCTCCAGCTCCCATCTCGCGGTGCCTTTGTGGCATTTGACTTGGTTCCCTCCAGCCCGGTCACACAGCAGCAGCATCCCGCGGTGGCACATCTCGGAGCAGCCCACGTACCTGCCAGGAATAGGATGAGCACTCCTGAGCCTTCCCGGCTCCACTGCCACATGGTCGGTGCCGCCACTGCCCTGCTTGAGCTGGAGGAACTTATTTTAACAGTGGCAGCGAGAGGCCACAAGGCTGACTTCTGTGAAGATACATTTAAAGCAAAGGAACGAAGGAAAATGTAATAGGACCTACAGAAAAGGTCCGTCCGTCTGAAGCGGCTGCCCCAGGCTGGGGCTGCACCACACGGGGCGCCCGGACAGCCTGGCAGGGCGAGCAGGTCTCACCTGGGCCAACGCGGGACGCTCCCAGGCCAGGAAACGCTCGAAGGAACGGCTTCGATGAGCTGCTCTGAACTGGGGCGATGCTGGGGAAGCCCCTGGGACAGGTCCCGCTCTGCCGTTAGCAGTGGGGGTCCCACGGGAGCCGCCGGACACAGCCCTCGGGTCTGGTGCAGCACTCCAAACCCCATCGCACGGGAGTGTGAGCTTTGGAGCAGATTCAGGCTGAATTTTGCCGAAATGTAGATTGAAAATACCCCCAGGTGCTCCTGCAGGTGGGGAGAGGAAAGCCTATTGCATTGCATCCCATCCGTCCCATCAAACCCAGCGAGAGGCAGCATCAGAGCCGGGGCTGGAGATGTGGTTTGAGCAAAGGAGCCCCCAGTAACCGGGGGGAGCATCAGTGCACCCCCTCCAGCTCACCACGGCTGTTCCAAAACCTCCATCATCTGCACCACAGCCCGACCACAGCCAACCTGCGTTATGGGGTGCACATCCCACCCCACATCTCGATAGCCCCACAAGGCCCAGAGGCACCTGGGGCACCGGGACCCTCTCCAGCAGAGGAGAAAAGGCTGGGAGACCCCCCTGCTACCCTCCCCACACCCCCATCCCCAGCACTTACTGCCCCATCCCAGGACGGGCTGGGGCAGAACCCCCAGCCGCTTCGCCCCAGGGATCCCGTGTGGTCCAGGGCTCCCCGCCGCCGGGTCGACGAGAGGTTTCGGCAGCCCCG